GAAGGTGACGGCCCAGGGAGAAGGGAGCTAAATGCCCGAAAAAGAAAGCGATAACTCAGGTTGATGAAATTGCCTTGTGTTCCGCCCAACGCTCCAAGCTTTTTGACAGGCTGTGGATCGGCTGCTCACTCTCGTCGCGTATGGTCTAGCTAACACCAGGTCACCTGCTGTCTGTTTCCCGTATTAGCGGTAGCGGCTATTTCCATCGCCGAGGCATGATGAGACCACCAGGCGTCGCGGTCTTACTTAAGGCTACCACGTAGTTTTGCCCTGAGGATTTTGCGAGCCTCTTTGTATTCGCTTCCAACCGGAATACGTCGGTGAGCAAGAATAAGTTCCAGAGACTTTTTACAGACCCAATGTCCAGGTTGGCAACTTGAGTTGCCACATGAAGACATGCCTGCGGATAGTAACGTTTGATGAATATGCGACTAGTGATCCTCGACGGTGTTCAGTGGGCGCTTACTCATCCCGGATGTCAGCGCACTTTAATACCCATACAAAACACTTAGCTTCGCTAGCTGACTGGTGTTAATCCGTTCACATCGACGTTGCGGGCGTCCACCGAAACACACCCGAAGGTCGGTGCACACAAGTGCGTGGTCAGAGTCCACGCTCGTGCTCCGAACCGAGCGACAGTTTTGGACATAGCCTCTCCAGCGGTAGCTGATCGCGATATGATCGATTTGGGCTGGCCCGAGGCTAGTGGGCTCCAAGTCACGTTTCTGCAGGTGTTGTGCCGAAAGTTTGTGCTCGCGAGAAAGAGGCCAGCACCTTCACACAGTTGTAGCAATCGCTAACCGTTATTATTACGGGAGCCTACATCAAGAAGCCCATCAGAGGACAATTTTCAGACTTGGGCGTTTAGATCGCCAGCCAACACCACGGTATCCGTGCTTCTTCTGTAACGAAGGAGATCGTGAAGTTGTTGATAGAAATCATCTTTCACCAAATCAGTGCTACAGTTTGTAGAGGTGTAGCCCGCAATGACAAACAGGCACCGCTTGTTCCCACGCGACTTCGTAGCATGAAACGAACCAGCTAATCTAACGGCGCACATCCTACTGTTTACTGGGATCCAATCAATCAGGGCAGCTTCAGCCCGGGGACTCAAAACAATGCCGACGCCAGCTTAAGCGGCATTTGAAGCTGCATCATCGCCAGACAGGCGCAATGAGAATGTGCCGTCAGTGTCGCGTGTGCGGGACCGCAGGGTAACTACGGAGCTCGAAACTTGCAGCCGCGTTTCCGATAAACAGCAAATATCGATCGATAGAGTCCCTAGTGTGCGGGCAAGTGCTGCATGTTGGCCAAGCTGTAGCAAAGTGCGCACGTTGAGGCATGCCAGTCTTAGCGAGATGCGAGGACTCCAAAGGGAAACGGATGAACTGAGGTTGTCCGCTTGGTTGAACATGGACTTGTCGACTGGATTGGAGCGACGCCCTGCGACTGTGTGTGAGTTGAAACTAGAAGATAAGCGACTATTGAAGCAAGGTGTGGGGAAGCCAAGAGTAGGCGGATTGAATTTAGGGTGGATAAAAGTAAAGTTGGAGCGGGACGATAATGATGAAAAAGCGCAAGGAGGAGGATAAGAAGACGGGAAGGCCATAACCCTATCCACCCTGCTCGATGCAGCAGATAGGGCGCCGTTGATTATCCTCTGCGAGGGCCAGAACAGCAAGAAATTGTTAGAAGAAAGGTTCGTTGTATGGTGAAGCGTTAGGCCAGTCAAAATGTACAGACGTCTAGCAACACCTTTGACTGGATTGACCGGCAGATCGATAACTGCAGATGACATGGGCAGGCGATCTAGATCATGATGAAGTAAGTCGTAGTCACCGGGAATATCAATTGTCCTCCAAATCTTCCGGTTAATTGCAAACTAGAAACAGTGCGACGGAAGAAGCTGGGGCACTCCATCGATGTGGCTCAGTAACAAAATGGGAGCCAGTACCGTGCCTTGTGGTATGACACCGGTGGAATGTTGCCAATCGGTTAGATAATTATTCAGCTATACACTCCAATCTCGCCAAATAAGGAAGTGGCTGATTCACCGGTGCAGTGAGTCAGCAACATCGTACATCTTCAGCCTGTGTAAGAGGAATTCATTGTCCACATTATCAATGTGGATAAGGCTGAGTGACATACCATGGTTCACTGCCTGCAACAATTCATGCATCACCAGTAGAAGTTTGGTGATGCCTGAGTGAGCTTTAGTGTAACCGCGATATGCTGGCGTTAAGATTATCGATTCCTGCCGCTGCAGTAGACCCATCTTCACCGTCTGTTCGAACACTTTGGCCAATACGGAGGTCGCACAAAACGGCCGGTGATTGTTCACCTTGCATGGGACACCGCCTTTCGGAGTCGGCTTCCTCCCAAGCATTAATAATCCCTCGGCCATGCACCTTCGGACAACGATCGATGGTACAGACTAGTCATGCAGGGCGATATGATGAGCGATAAGAACTAGAGTATCAGCGGATGGAGCTCGTCAGGAACGGTATGCTTCGTGGCGTCAAGAGAAGCGAGTAGCTTGCGTATTTCTTCCACACCACAATACAGGATATCGAGTTAGGTTGGGGATGTGTACGTCGAACTCGGTACATAAGCATGGTAATTTGCAAATAGCGAAGGGAAGTATGCTGCGAATTCTGACTCAAGCAGAGCGCTGGAGGTTAGGGGCTGTCTATATGAGCCCACTAACGCTGCTACGTCACCTGTAAGTCATGCAAACAAAAATTCTCCTGGAGATGGTAAGCACTGCGATTTCGGGATGATCTTCAAGAAGCTAACGCTTCTGAGCATTCGAATAAATTCTGCCCTCTTGCAGGCCTCGTAATCGTCGGCAGAGGAATTTAATGGGCACTAAGCGTCGTCGTCCATCCAGATGAATATACTCCTTGTCGAATCAAGGTGGCTTCATTGGGTCAAGCTGAACCTCTAGCTAAATTATTCGAGGGAAGCTAAAATCGCTCATAAGCAAGAAGCAGGAACGACCCATGTGGTTTCGGACATGCGGTAAGCAGCCAAATAGCGACATTGCGGACCGCGACACCCACGAATAATGAATCACGTCTCAGGTGGATCGCACAACGAAACTGCTCGCACAGGACATCTTTGCCTTGGCAGGTGCTTGTCAGTCTTCCGCATATGGAAGCACGTGGATAGCAGTACGCCACCGTGCGTTCCTAGATGCAGCGACAATCAGATCGATGACAGGGTACAATCTGAGACCATATATGACCAGAGGAAAGGAGTAGGCGCACGTCGAATACGGATCTGGAACGTTTCAAGTGCTTTCTAATGAGTAGCTGCTACCAGTATCGTAAAAATCACATCCGTAATCAGGATACACCAACACGAAAGCGGCTGGATGAGCTGAAGGATCTCAAGCGTAACGAGGGGATCACAATAAGCAGACCGGACAACGGTACTGGAATTGTGCTACATAGTTAAAGTGACAGCAATATTGAGCGATGAGACAAAGTTTTCTTGCAACACAGGGGAAATAGACCGAACGGAACAAGTTGAGACAAATCACAAAAGCATGCGAGAACCACAGAGTAAGGGGTACATTTCAGATGCTCTCTATGTAAGTCAAAAACCGAGTGGCATAAACGGTCCAAGGTTTAAAGGGGCTACCAAAAATTCAGAAACGCAACATCCCACCCCGTCCTATTTATTCGATGATCAACTAACCGTACCACACAATTGCTCAGTGGCTAGTAGAACATCTTGGACCGGTGTAACAACAGCTTCCAGTCCGTTGAAACCATCAAATATGCCAAAAGTAATGAAAAAGTAATGCTCTCCTTTCATGTTGTCCCGTTTTTAACAACTTCTCGATGACAATCGAGTACATTTGCGAATACAGAACTAGGTCAAAGGAAAAATGCGCGCAACTAAATGTCAGCTAAAACGCCTAGAGTTGAGCTGTGCCTGAAATGTGTGACGATGGAATCTCTTCCCCGTCCGTTGTTGACAGAGAGCTTCGCGGCAAAGTTGGAAAAAACTAAAATGCTGGCGAAGATAAACACTGATGGCCGCTGCAATCTACACATGGATGAAATACTGGTTGGGGTAGATAAAAAGGTTAACCAGGATGAAATTCTTGACCGCTTTAACCGAGCCCATGTAGCATTACAGTTTATGTCTGGGAAAGAAATCCATAATCGGCTGTTTTATCTTGAAGTCTTGTCAACAAGGAGACCAGATGGCTCCACTGGAGGCCACCAATTCGAATTCGCAGAGGTGAAGGCGACCTCGCGGTATAACAAGCTTTTGCTCGACTGTTGGCAATCGCATGGTAGCGAAGCTTCAGCACAGTGTGCCGGCCTAATGCTGCCTTTTTAAATTAAACTGAATGCATTGAGCTTGATTTAGTAGATGTGATACACAAGCGTGTTCGCAACAGGACGTAGTAACTGTGTACAGAGGAGTGCCTAGTGTAGAAGCAGACGGACCTAACGCTCGAATGGGTGCTGTCAAACAGTCTGATTGGAACAACTTGTTTCGAGATGAAGTGGAAAAATTACAAGGCATGCCCCCGGCGGTACTAGTGGCACATTTACGGTCTTGAGACCAGATGGCAGATGTGACGTGCATGGTGATCAGTTGTCTGTGACGTTAAGGTATTACACAGGCAGAGACAGAAAAAGTTGCAACAATCAGTCCTGATAACCATTTCGTTTCCGCACTATACCCAGTTTTTTAACATACGATAATCGTAGGGCGCAGACGTTGAACTCCTGATTGATTGCGTGGTGCATTTGATTGGATACTCGCCATACCCAGTAGTAGTGTATTTTGACAAATTGTAGCATATGACAGTCAAGTACTGGTAGGTGAACAGAAGGGCGAAGTGAAGGGCCGCGGCATCATTGAGAATATACAAAGAGACAACGATAGAAGATGCAGATGGAAAAGCAAACGGCTGCGCTGTGAGGATTAGTGAGGAATAAGATTTAGAGGAGCAAAGAAAGTAACAAACAACTCACTTCTTTGCGTTCCGAATCGTAAAGCGGAGAGGTAGGGTAGAGGACAGCTTTTTGGGCGAACCAGAACGTTTCACTGAGGTTCAGCAGTGTTTTGGCCGAGCACTACACAAAAGTGAATGGAAAGAGAAATTGAAATTCATCAGATGTGGATTCCTAATCATCGTGTTAATCGCTGCTGTCGAACCTCAGTGGTCGAATGATCAAGCTGTTAGCGGTCAACCACTACGCGTCATGTTTCACTTGCAACCCCAAGCATCGTTATGCGCAGAGTGCACATCAGAACAAAACCGAGTGTAGGATTCAAATTCAGTCGAAATAAGCTTAGTACATCCAAAAGGGTTTAATTTCAACATTTATACCATCGCTGAGGAGGTAGTGTATAAAGCTATCTGTGTCCATGGAGAGGAGCAAAGTGAAATGGGCAATCTGACAACCGATCGCGCAGTATGCCGCTGGGTCCACAAGCAGGTGGGACAGGAAAGCCAAGATGGTTTTACGATCCGACGAGGTGTGAGAAAACAAAACGTTCAATTTCGAACGTGTTGAAAAAAGATCTTTTGAAAGGGAATTGCAGAATGGAGAAAATCAGTCATTTAGGGCTCCGGAGGAGAAATTACTGTATGCACTAAGATGTCAAAAAATGAACAAATAAGCCGGAGAGTATCTAGATAAACTGCTGCATCAGAGTGTAATCTTCCAGAATCAATCCAGGGAAGATGACAGAGGGTAACAACGCATCGTCACAAACTTCGATATTAAGCTAAGGGACAATGAAAACATTCTAAGTTTGAGAGCATAAAAAACTAAGCTGCCATTGCGTAATGTCTCATAAAGGTACATAGACAAAAAGAGGTTGTGGGACAAAGTACACAGAGATACTTGACGGTGGATGATCTAGGCGTGAGATTGTCCTTTACAGTCAGAGTGGGAGAGATTGCAAAGTATCCCTATGAATTGCGATCTAGCGCGGCTCGGCCACCGCTGTGTCGCATGTTATGAAGGTGCAGAGGACAGAGCTGGTCCTCAGAGCTACGACTACCTATGCAATCCGAACGATGTCCTAGCACGAGAGGAGAAATCCGGATCCGACCGAGCGGCCGACTAAGGAATAGTGGAGCGGCGGACGCCGCGAGAAAAGAGCATTCGAAGCTTGACCTGCCCGCAACGTCGCCGAAAACTCCGACCGACAACCCGCCGGGGACAAAGCAGAGGGTAACGAAATAAGGAAACGCACGAACACATCCTAGCGACCACGAGTAAGGTCCGAAAATCCGAAAGACCGGGAATATACTTTGAAGAAGAGAAGGCGACCATCCGACGCCGAGAAAACAAAAACGGATCTATAGGACCGAGAAATGATACCCCGACAGGTCTCCGACCGAAAATAGCATCCAACGCCATGAGAGCCAACCGAAACAAATACCTCCGACACTAATCGCAGT